CTTCAATATAATCAAGACCTTTGTGTGAACCTGGCTTTTCACCTTAGCTACTCCCTGCTATCTTTCACAAGACCTGAATTAGAGGGGAAGGGATTAAAATTCCAGCTTCAGCATCTCTCATTTTTCAAGATGAGCTGTTTTCTACTTCTAGAAGTCTGTTCTAGAAATGGATAAGAATGAAGGGGTCTTTGGAAGTCAAGGGGCCAGGCAGATATTTACCTAACAGTGACTTAATACTAAACTTCATTGCCCTTTGTGTCTTACCTATGAATGCATATACATAGAATTGCATTGTTAGACTTTAAAAAGGCAGCAAGAAAAAAGGGTTTTTTTGGGAATTATTTTTCTCTTTGCTGTGGTCCAGCAAGGAGCAGCTCTTAACAGTGCATTCATAGCAGGAACCATTGGGTTTTATCCAATACAGCAAGGGTTCCCAACCAGGGTGCGAGACGATATTCCAGGGGGTGCAAAAACTTGGGTTTTCAAAATTATAGTGTATATGCATAATTCGTTGCCGTTATTTCGAACTTTTGTAAGCGGTGCGAGAATATATCAGAAGCGTTCTAGGGGTGCGGGGTAGAGAAAAGGTTGGAAGCTGCTGCAATACAGTAATGTGGAAATTGAAAATGACTTATTAACAGGAGAGTAAAAGTCTCTTCTGAATCAAACTCAGCTCCCAGCGAATTCATGGGTATGTTCAGGTAATTTTATTGATAGTCATGTAGAAGTGAGTTGCCACTACTTTCTCTCAAATTTTTTCTTCTTTCATTTCTCAGTCTAGCCTACAATTCTGACACTTATTGGTGGTGGTGTCTTCAAACGCTATCCAATTCCCATTCTGCTTATTTTTGGGAGACCAGTCAAGCATGACTAAAAGCTGCCCCCGAGTCAGGCAATATACTGGCATTTTAATCAATTGATTCACTTTTATGATATGATTGCATATCTCACAACACGATTGCATTACTTACTGAATTATAATAGTTCAGAAGATCCTATACCAAATTACCTAGGAGCAAAGCCAATTGAATGGAATTCCAGAATAAAAATGTTATGCTTGTGTTATAAATATTGCTGAAACAGTAGCTAATTTCACAAACTGTATGAGTTGCTTGGTTTTGCCCTTGTCTGTTGTAGGGCATTATAACAATCACCTATTGTGATTTATGATGTTGCAAAATCCAGAAATAATGTCTTTCCAGATAGAGCATGACACCTTAAGTAAGCCTTAATCCTTGGATAAACAGGATGTAAAATGATGGCCAGCATGTGCTTATTCGTGTTAATCCTACAGAGTCTGAGCATGTTCTACAAACATTGAACTAAACCAGGCGTGTCTAACCCACAGCCCTAAACAGCTAGAAATCTGGTCCCACAAGATCATAATTAACATCATTATGTGATTTTTATATTTATCTATACTATATATTTTCCAAGACAATTCCTCTTCACTCAATGTGGCCCAGGCAAGCCAGAAGATTGGACACATCTGAAATAAGCTGAAAACTTGGGAGAGTGCTTCTTCAAATATGGATGACACAATTGTTTTATTGCTTGTTTTGTTTTTTGTTTATTTTGTGAATTGCCTAGGGTTATTGTTTATAAAACAGGCAGCCACAGTTAGACAAATACTTTGCTTTTCTTGTCATAATGGCTGGGTTCACCTATCACACCAACTCAAAACTAATTTAATCACATTATGGCTTAATGTTGGATGTGAAGTCACTCAACTATTGATTCTGAAACTGCAGTGCAGCACAAGATAGAAAACCCTTTAAACCAGGGTTTTCCAAATACTATTAAACTCCAGCTCCTAGCATCCTTCATGCTGGCTGGGGCCGTTGGAAGGGGGTCACAAGTCTGTCTTCAGTTATTTTCTGAATAAATATGCTTAAAGTCATAAGTGCTTATTTAGCAATATTCAGAGGGACATAAAAGATGACTGATTTTTTATTTTGCCAAAAGAACACTTAGCATTTGTGGCATTAACAATATACCCATTGCATTTTAAGCATTAAATCGTGCAAAAATGTGATATATAATATCCTCTCCTTATTCCCTTTCTCTTGCTTTATCAGCTGCATTTCAGGAAAAGGAAATAATATTCAAAATCATGTTTGCATTCTCCAATCCTGGAACTATAGGGTTGTTGTTTCTTATGGTTTAACAGCCTTGTTCTCTTCCAGTTTCCTAAAATATCACCAGTCCTCTAAGGGTTCTCAAATAGTACCAAGAGTTGTTTTTCAATCAACTTTATTGGTTCTCTTTTTATTTATTTATATATATCATGCCTTTATTATTTTTATTATTTTTATAAATAATTCAAGGCGGCAGATATATCCAACATACCTTCCTCCTCTTATTTTCCTCACAACAACAACCCTGTGAGGTGCGTTGGGCGGAGAGAAAGAGAATGACTGGCCCAAAACAACCCAGCTGACTTTCATGGCTAGGGTGGGATTTGAACTCGTGGTCTCCTGCTTTCTATTGTGGTACCTTAGCCCACAGGCCAAACTGTTCTTTAGGATGTCATTTATCTGGCTCTGGAATTACCTGTGTGGTCTCTTACCCTCTCCTTATTTATCCTAAGCTGCAGTTCATATCTGTTCTAGTGGCACAGTTATGACATTTCCTTCAGAGGTAAAACAAATGCAAAATACAAATTAGGAACTTATGCATTCCCACCAATATCCATCACTACTTCATTACTTTATCCACACAATGACTCCCATGCTCTCTTTTCTTTGCATTCTACACCCCCCAAAAAAATCTTATCATTGCTATTTTTTTAATTTTTTGCAAGCCTCAACTCATTCTTAATTTTAGCCTTTCTGATATAGTTCCTACTGTTTCTGAACACTACCTTGTCTTCTTTGGTTAGACCACCTTCTTCTTCCATCCTTTTTTTTTTGCCAGTGTTTGTTTTTCTTGCTCATGATCAGCATTTTAGATTATGAACTCTGTAAGGAGAAAATCTATGTGGCTACTAAGTTGGCACCAACATGATGGTACATAATTAATTTTAGAGAGCTGGCATCCTTAGATTTTTTTATTTTTCTTTGTAGGAATTGTTTGCAGCTCCATCCCATCCAATTTTGTAAGATTTCCAACCCTTCCTGGACATTTTTTTTCTTAAGAAATTGAAGCTATCATAACCCACCTACCTTTCCTTGGAGTTCACCAACATTTGCTCCTTTCATATCTAGTATGCTACTCTAATTCTTCTTTCTTCTCCTTGGTTGCTATAGATTCAAAAATAACACAATCATTTCCCTCCACATTCTAGGCAACAGTCACCTCTTCAATCAGTTCTCTCTGTCAGTGAATATTAGGTCCGGAGTAGCACAGCCTCTTGTTGTTTTTGCACCTTCTGATAAATGAAGATCTAGTTTGTTTTGGAAAAAAAATATATTGTAAAAGAAAAACCACAACCTCGGCACCTTTTACTACAGTATGGTCCTGCCCAGCAAGCTGTACCTGATGATGAATTAATTTATGAATTAGGAAGAAAGGGGCATCCTCCCCTCATGAGCCAGAGCCAAAACTCATCCCACCACAGTTTCCTGTAATTTACGGTAGGAAACAAGCTTCTGCCCAAAGGCCAACTAGTAGTTGCACCAGTGACAATTCAAAATATGCAAAAAACGTATTCTGTGGCCTGTTTTAAGGAGTGGTGCTCAGCACCTAACCAATAAGGCTTGATTTTTTCAGAAATGGATTTGCACAAAGAGAAGGGCCCAGGACTTGCCCAGAGTACGCTTCTGTGGAGAGGGACCGGTTACTTTTTTTTCTCAATGTGATTTAGTTTTCCCCCCACCCAAAAAAGAAATGTCATCATACTTTTTGTTTGCTTCTGTTTTCACATGCTAGGGATTCGGGGGTGGGGGACAAATAGTCCTCTAAAACAGGAAAATGGATTGAAATCTGAATTCATCAAAGTTTAGACACCAAGGATGACATAGAGATTTTTTCAAGTGATGCACCAGTGGTTCTCAACCTGTGGGTCGGGACCCCATTTGGGGTCGATCGACCATTTCACGGGGGTCGCCAAGCAAGGCTGTCCGCCATTTTTTTCCTCTTTTCCGGCGGGTGCCTTACCTCCCTTGGGCTGGGCCAGCTGGTGGTCGGCCTGCTCCGTCTCTGCCGCTTGCCAGCTACGCCTCGGCCGGCGCAGGGGGCGGAACCACGCATGCGCGGCGCTCCTGGGCAGGGAAAGTCCTCAACTTACGACCGGTTGGGTAGTCCTCGACTTACGACCGGTTTAGTCCTCGACTTACGACCGGTTAGTCCTCGACTTACGACCGGTTGGGGTCGCGGCCTTAAAAAGGTTGAGAACCACTGTGATACACAATTATCCTTCTAATCTAGGAGGAGGAGCCAGAAGGAAGGTGAGAGACCTGACTGTAAAAGCAGTATTCCCAAGCATAGACGGGTGTTCCCCCTTTTTTTTTCTTGCGAAAATTCAAATATGAAGTCCGGCAGTATTTAGGGTTGCCAGGTCTGCTTCCAAAAAATAGCGGACAAGGGGGAGGGGTTAAGTAGTAAAAAAAGTAGACTGTACAGCTTTAGATTATGTACCATTTCATCATAAAGCTTTTGAATAAAAAAATGTCCACTATTTTGTGAAAAAAAATAGTGAACATAATGTGAAAAAAGTGGACTGTCCACTCAAATAGTGGACACCTGGCAACCCTAGCGCCAGTATTGTATTGTATTGTATTGAAATTAAAGAACCCAGGAGCATCCCCAGCTCTCCTTCCCCCCCCCCCCGCCTCCCTCTCCCCAACCGCCTTCCCCGTTTAGCCACGCTGGTGTTTCATTTCCTTTGCCCAGGACGGAAAGGCGCTCCTCAACTGCGAAACGGAGGGAGGGGAGGAAGGGAGGGGGGGGCGTCCCAAAACAGAACGAAAAAAAAGGAGGCGGGGCGACGAGGCCCTGGACCCGCCCCCACCGCTTGGCGCGCGCATAAAAGCTCTCCGCCGCCTCTCCGCCGCTGCAACCTCAGGAGCACTTGCGGGGCGGGACGCGCGGCGCTCCCGGCACGAGCAGACATGGGCAGGGCGCTGGCTTGGCGGCTCGTCTTCGGGCTTTTTCTCCTGGCGCTGCTTTCACCCTCTCAGGTGAGCGGCCGACTGTGCCGCGGGGTCGCTTCTCTCCGGGCCTCGGCAGCGGGATCCCGGGAATAGGTGTGGGGGGGGGGAGCAGGGGACGTGTATTCTTACTACCATTGCCTCCATCAGCTTAAGGGTTCCTACCCGGGTTTTGCTTTCCAGCCGCGCGCCAAGTTGCATTTTGGGCGGGGGGCGGAGGGGGATTCCCGACAGAGTTTTAAGTTTGCACATCGCGCTGAACCTTGAATATGTGGCTTAATTGGTCCGGGCGTAGCTTGTGGAGTAAACCTAGCCAGCTGTGGTTTATTCAAGTAAACTGAATTTAAACAAGACATGGTTTAACTGATGCGTGGATGAAACCTGAAACTCCATTCTCTTTCCTAGCTTAGTTTTGCAGATTTGCAGGCGTGATTCCAGCCTTCCGTTGCCTCCTTTTCCCCAATTTTCGAAGACGGGTTGAGCGTCGTCCCCCTTCCGATCACTTTTTTTTTTTTTACAGAAGTAAATTCCTTTAATTTTTTTTTTTAAAGGAGGAAACTTGGCACCCCTTCCCCTTTAGTAAGATTTCCTTTTGCAATTCAGGGTATGTCTACTCAGAAATAAAAGTCCCATTGAATTTTGAATAAGGTAAGTCGTTAGGAATTAGGGCCTGAATATTTTAATCCCAACCACTGACCGGGATGAAAATAGATTTGTAGAGTTTTGGGTAAAATAAAATTGTCTATTTGGTTAGATTGCAATCGAATTGGAATAAAGTATCTGAAAAGGTACGTCCTGTAGCAGTTTTTAACACTGTTTTGCAAAAGCTGCCTAGAGTGGCTTTTAAAAAAAGTAACTGTGTTATTAATCCTCTAAAATCAACATGATAGGAAAGAGCTATGTTCTGTGAAAATTTGAAAGTAGGAAAATGCAAAGTTACCTGACAAATCTTCCATCTCCCTTTTCCTAAAAGGCTAGCAGCTGCTGCTTGGGTAGAGTTAGGACTGCAGTGTTGCTGAACTCAATACATAATGGCTGGAGTAGCTAAGAGTTGGAATGTAACAAAACCCCTGCAGGCTATGTTTGGTTTCCCCCCCCCCCCCAATGTTAGATTTTCTTGCTGCGTTGGAAAGCATTTGTTGAGAGACCTCACTATTCTCTGTCAGACTTCTGTGTGGGTTCTTTGTACTGTACTTGAGCTGTGTGGAGATCCAAATTGGAAGGGAAAATGTAATTTGAATGTATGTGGGTATGTAAGGAATCTATGGAAGAGTAGCTGTGTCTTCTGCAACTGTCCTCTCTTTGGTTTGTGGTGCTCCAGACAAATGAAGTATATATATATATTCCAAATCCTATTTTGCTTTTGAATTCAGACATCTGCATGGCCTCTTTTTTTCCCCTTACCAGTAGATGTAAATGAAGATTCAATCATCCAGGCCAAAAATATTCAAAAAAGTTAAATCTGGCAACTGGACCAAAGTTTATTAAAACCGAGACATTTCTGGACCACGGAGAGGTTTTATTACTCATCCAAGTAACTTCCTTCAATCAAAATGAAAATTTTGGGTAATCAGAGTCACCAGAATGTACTAACTCTTGCCATACAAACTGCAGGGGTTTCTCTGCAAAATGAAATGCAAAATGCAAATGAAGACTCAATCATCCAGGCAAAAGTATTTAAAAAGACACTTTACTCTCTGCCTATCCAAAATTTTCATTTTAACTAAAGTTACTTGGATGAGTAACAAAAGGTCTCTGTTTGAATAAACTTTGGTCCTTTGTAGATACTTTGTAGATACTTCCCACTGGATACTGCTATAGAAGCAGAGATTTTAATCTCTCGTGAATCTTAGTATAGCAACATAGTATAGTCCGATAATTTAAGAATCTTCTATTTTTATTAAATAAGCTTTCAAGTATTAACTTTCTAGAAATATATATTTTATCATACATATTATTATGTAAGTCTTTGGAGAAATTTTGGAAGCTCTGTCTGACTTGGCATTAAAAAAAAATCACAAGTTAGTACTTCCACAGACTCCTTTCATTTTCCATTGGAATTTCTGGAAGAGATGTAACACTTTGGCTCAATGTTAGGACAGTAGAAGCTTAGCAGGTTAATATTTTATGCGGCCAGTTTCAAAAAGGTGATGACTTGCACTTTACTCTTGCCACCTTATATCGGGCTTAGCAGACAAAGTTGAAGGCATGAGAAAGTGCTTTTTAAAGGAATAGCAAAGAATAAAACTGGAATGAATATTTAGCAGAAATGAATACTTAAAAGGAGCTTTGGTGAAACATCTTTGAGAAGGGATTGGAGTGGCTTCAAAATGTGATTATAAATCTGTGGGGTTTATATTTTTAGTTCTTGTTAGATAACCTGCAGTTTTTTTGTGGCAGTGAATTTGTTATTGTAAGGGTCTAATAGAAAAAGCAGCATCAAACTTAACAAGATTTCCTAATATTAAGTTGGTAGTATGTAACAAAATGATTTCTTTGAACATAATGAACATAATGCTTTCGATGTGCTGTATATCTTCCCAGCTTCCTGACTTCAACTTCACAGCTAACATATGTTAACTGTACATGGTGTTGTTGCTCTATACGTGTGAAATGCAACATAAGAACTTACACTAAACAACCAGAATATATAGTAGTAGACTAGAGAGGTGACAATACTGCAAGTGCATTTCACAAGTTGGAATTCCCTTTATTAATCCTTGTGTGTAGGATTTCTGAAACTAAAAAATTAATGTGGATAATATATGAGGAGATATGAATGCTGCCTCTTAAACCTGACTGGACTCTCAATGCTTACTGAGTATAAATTTTGCTCAAAATAGACATATCTCCATTGAAATGGATGGGGTGAAACTGACTTGATATATTAACATACTTGATTTGGGGAATATTATGGTGGGTTTGCAATCGCTGTAAGACAATCTTACATGTATTACTGTTAATTGAAGTAGATACTCAAAGCCTACCCTGCTTTCCAACACTTTCTCAGCTGCCAGATGTACCAGATATTGTTCATACGTTACATGAAGTCTGACATCATTAGCATGACATAACTTGGTCTATCCATCTGTAGACTGGGACAGTCTTCACTCCTAGTGAATGCCAGAACAGGTCCATACAATTTTCATGGCAACATTTTTGGGAGTGTTTGTCCTTGTCTTCTTATGATTGAGAGAGACTGACCAAGTCATCCAGCTGCTTCATGCCTAAGGCTGGACTGGAACTATAGTGAGTAAGGAAGCCGTCTTTGAAATATGCAAGCTCAGTTGGCAAGGTGTAAAGTCCAGCATATCCAGATAATATTCAGAAATGACTCAAGTGCATCTCTGGTACACTGATCTACATGGAAAAGGTACCACAGTTGGACTTGTAAGTTTCTCTTATTTAGCCAATCTCAATAAAAGTAGTTTGTGTGAAGGTGAAGGTGATTTCCCAGCCTCATCTACCTAGTGGGGATGACTGGAATTCATATTCTTCTGGTTTCAAACCACCATATCAAACTGGCATGGTGGTTAAAGGTCTTTGGTAATACAAAAGACTTGTGTATCAAAAATAGATTAGAGTGGTGTTTTTGTGACCTGATTCGCAAGTTTCACAAACCCTTGATCCATGGCTTATTGAATAAACCACAGTTGACTAGGTTCAGGCTACAAATTAAGCCATAAATTGTAATAGTTGGGATCACAAAGCAAGTTGGGCCATAATCCAGCTTGGTTTAAAGGGATGTTTTAGCTCAGTCAGCACACTCCTGCTTTTCTAATTCTATGCAACTTTTTAAAAATTCTTGAAATAAACATTAGTGCTAAGTGGCTGGAGACAGACAATGTGTGCACTCAAATCTAATAGCAGATCTGAAAATGTGGTATGTGCTTATCCCATTCATGTCATTATTTGAGTCAGGTTTCTAAAAGTCTTGTTGACTGTATAGTAACCAAAACAAAAGAAATAATACCTGTGCCGTGAAATTTGAAGTAATTTTAAGGCCATTTAAAGTAATTTAAATTCCTAAAACATATCATTTCATCCCCTGCTTGCCATGGCATGCAAGAACAAAACTATAAATTGATTTCTTGTGCAATTTTATTTCTGGTCTTGTAACTATTACCCTGCTTCAGACTTTTCACCTTAAAAATCTTCCACTTTTCTAAAGTGTCAATAATCTCCAGCATTATTAATGTGATTGTTTAATCAGAAATGTTAAATAAGCTGGAAATAAGGTGTTTCATATCATGCAAGTCAAAACCAAACAAGCATGTTACGATGCAGTGTAATGTCTGAATCTAGCGGTAGATTTCTTTATGCGCTCAACTGGAGTAAGAATGACAAACTATCAGTTATTCTGTCTAAAATTACCTCTAATAGCATTTTGATTTTCTGATTGCTAACTTTTGATATGGCCTCGGTTAAATCTGACAAAGTCAAAAGAGAAAGAATATGTTTCAGGGAAATTATGATTTGATAGATGACGAAGTATGGTGTGTGTGTGATAGGTATGTTGATGTCAGAGTATTATTTCCAAGTTGTCAGTGTCATTATTGGTATGGGATGTACAAAAAGTTGGGCTGTGAGTTCTCGTTCTCGCTGTCATGGAGTTCTTTCCTTATTGACTATCTGCCTCATCACTGACGTATCGCAAGAAAAAGATTTTATATTGTTTGCTTTGCATTTTACATCGAGTTAACATATTTTTACTGCAATCTTATACTTGTTTATCTTGGAATAAGCTCCAGTGAACTTGATGGGGCTTTTTTCAGAATAGGGAATTATGCTCTTTAAAGTGTACTTTTTAAGAAGGGCAGTGATGCTTATTCTATGTGTGCTTCATGGTAAAATAAAACACCCCCCCCCCACTATCTTTACAATCACTCTATATAGACTAATGTAATAACATAGACCAGGCGTAGGCAACCTTGGCTCTTTTATGACTCGTGGACTTCAACTCCCAGAATTCCTGAGCCGGCATGGCTCAGCATGGAAACCTCTCCCTTTCCCCTCAGCATGGCTGGCTCAGGAATTCTGGGAGTTGAAGTCCACGAGTCATAAAAGAGCCAAAGTTGCCTACCCCTGACATAGACCAATACACTAAGCCCTGGAAAGCAGAATGCAAAATGTGCTGATTGATTTTACAGTCTTTTTTTCTTCTTTTGCATATTTAGGGAGGAGAAAATAAAACAGCTACTGAAGCTCCGCATAATCATTCAGTTGTGACTCCTATGTCACTTAACATAAACACCACCACCAAGGGACATGGAAATTGTCTTCAGTCAACCACCGGCCTCTTCATTCTCTCAGTCTCTCTCCTGTACTTTTGTTAAAGCATCTGGTCTTGGGAAAACAACATCCTTCCCTACCGAGTTCCCTGATTCATCTAAGATGGTGAGATCTTCATATTCTGAGAATTTAAAAAAAAAACCAGCACAAAATACTTGCATCCAGCCAGTGCAGTTAAGCAACAGTCCAGTCATTGATACCAATTTGATCAAAACTCTTGGTAAGAATACCTGGTGAATTGAATCAATCTTCCTTCAAAAGTAACTTGATTCGCAAGGCAGCCTATGGATTCCAACATTCAACACCTCGAACTCGTATTACAAGAGAAATACAACTTGACAAGCCATGGATCATGCCTTCTAAGGGGAAAGAGTTGATACGATCAAGCTATGCAAAATAAGGAGCTTAATTTGAAAATGATGCTCATCCTCTTAAGTTTATAAAACCAGTTAAAAAAAAAATAGCGCTGAAACGGGGTTTTTCCCCCCCCTCAGTTTAAGATACAAGGATATCTAGCAGAAGTCATTCTAATCAGAATTTTACTATGGAATTTCCCAGTTAATCCACTGATTAAAAAAAATTGTTATAGTTCAAAATGGAAGTTTGCATAATTTAAAACCATTTGGAAACATTTGCTGTAATTTCTTTCCCAATTTTATTAAAGCTGTAAGTGAACCAAATGCACCAGCAGAATAAGATATATAAAATCTATTGTAAGATTATTTGCTAATAGCCAATATAAAATAAGTAATAAGGAAATAACGAATCAACTTACATAATTAAACTTGAATAGTTTTTCTCATAGCAGCCTCCTCCTAAAAGTTTCTGGGGGTCATTTCTAAATGTCAGTGTTGGTGCAATTAGTGTTTAATTTATTCTTTCAATGAAACATCTTTGGGCAAATAATTTTCCTTTATGTTGAGTGAAAACACACAATGTTTAAATCCTGAAATATTAATCCTTAAAGTGTGTATTTTTTAAAGGTTGAAACTGACATATTTGCACAAATTATTTCTATTCAAAGTGTTCTGTACAGTAAGTAATTTGAACTAAAGCTGGTACTAAAATGTTATCCAGGTGTTTGGCTCTTCAGAAATAAATAATGGAAAGTCTTGTGGGTAGAACCACATCCATAGACAGTCTTGTTCACTTACGATGTGTGATCATGGCTTTAAATGCACACTTGTTTCTTTGATTTAGTCAGTTACCCAGAATCTGTATACATCCATTGCATTGTCAAATACTTATATAATAAATCTTGGGATGGGGGGGAGGGATTTATGCATTCCTTTTGTATTGAGTAAACTGACTTCATGATTATGTAACTATGCTATAATTTTAAATCAAACTAAATAAAACAATGGATCTACTTCTAGTACATTCTGGTTTTTTGATAATCAGATCTTCGGTATTCTGCTAACAGGGCAGAACCTTCTCTAATGGAGTAACTGGATTCAAAAGAAACATTAAGTTCTATTCCTAATAATCTTGTCAGCGACCGTGCACATCACAAGATTTGTTTGCTTGATTTAGGATATCTCAATGGCTATGGATTGAATCTGGGGGCATCTCTGAGGCTGGGGACCAGAAGGAGTATTTTGGGTGTGTGCAAAAGGGTGTCTGCATGTCCTAGGAAAAGATGCCTCTGCTTTAAGGGTTCCTATGTTTCATGAAACCTAATTTGATTTAGGGAAGCTGCATTAATTGGTATCTGTTAATCAAATCTCCTAATTACATGTCCAGCTTCTGCTCAAGTCAGTGCAGGATAACTGAATTGTTTAACTGTAATTGAAAGAGACTGGAATAAACTGCGGAGACATACAGTGGAAAACTTTTATCTGCTTACTGTGGTTGCTCTGGCTTCTAACCATATTAAAACTGAATGAGTTCTGTATCCTGCTCATTGACTTGGAAAAAGATAGCTTGGTAACCTGGAAAGGTTTTTTTAGTGAAATTTAATCACAGGACAATGAAACCTTTGAGAAAACCGCAAACGTGCCAGTGAGAACAAGGTGTATTTATCAAGTCATAGGGGAAATGGCAGGCCCTTCCTGTTAATAATTTCCCCAATTAAATAATTCTCCCCCAAGTGGGAGAAACATGGCTGGATGCTAGACAAGATGATAATGCTAAGTAATCTGGGCTGTTTATTAAGCCCATTTTAGGGCTTAAAATAAGCTTCTGTGAGGCACAAAACTATGCCATTAGTTGTGGTCTGGATTGGCAACAAGGCAGAGGGATGCATGTGGTTCTACTCCTGATTTAAACCCAGCTAAACTATACATTCAGTGTTGGATCAGTCAAAATTATCTAACAAGATTAATCTGGATAATTGATTCTGGAAAGCCTTGAAGCAGTTGAGCTTGTTTAATGCTATGGCCCTGCTTTAGTTTTTCAATATATTTTACTGAACTTTAAAGTCACTGGGAACACAGTTAGAAACCTTAAGCAAAGTATTCACTTTGACATATATCTGTGTTTCTTAAACTTTTTTTTTCTCTTAGAACCTCTTCCCACTTTTTAAAAAAATATATGAAGGACTCCAAAAGAGCTTTTGTTTGTATAAATTATATTTATTTGTATTTATTAAAAATTAATATATTTGCTGCTGCTACCACTTCTCATAATTGTTTGATGAGATTTTAATGAATTATTTTTCAACCTAGTCTAGCAACTAATTTTGTTTTTGGGAGCCCCTGAGGGGATGTTGGGGAATCACATTTTAAGAAACACTGTCCTAGACCAAGGGTGTCAAACTGGCAGCCCGCAGGTCAGATATGTCACACGCAGGCCATGCCCACCCCGGCTCTGCAAAGGCAAAAAACGTTGTGATACGTTGTGATACATCATGTGATGCGATCGAGTTTGGCACCCGTGTCCTAGACAAAAGCGTTAAAAGACCAAATGGACCTTGTTTATTCACTTTGCTCTTTAGATACTGTGAGAAATGATATTGAAGAAACAGTTGCACTCACACCTGTGATTTTCACTGTATCTAGCGTTTTATATGTATCTATATATGCATATATTAAACTCATTTCTGCTAGAGTCTGTTCTTCCTTTTAGACATCTGAAGGCTCAGATTTCCCAGTGGCAAACAACATTCAATGATTACATTGTGTCACAAACAAGAATCTGCATTCTAACGCAGTCTCTTTTTTTTAATAGTAAAAAGCAACTTTGAAATACTATAGATATCATTTGCTTGTGCAAGAAATTTTTATACCAGCTCTGCATTTAAAAGGCATTATGTAGTATTGACTGCTAGGGTTTCTCTGACGTCTACCATTTTATGTACAGTGTAATGCCAGACACATTTACTCAATACGAAACCTTATTTCGTTCAAAGGGACTTATTCTCATGCAAGGGGGAATAGCAGTCACATTCCAAGCCTTACTCTTTGCTGAAGTCCTGAAAAGTAACTTGATCTCTCCTTCAGTTAACAGCCTCTGATCAGTCAAATGAAACTCTCAATTTCCTGGTCATTAATACGTTTAATTGCATGTTCTTAATGTCCCAGAGCTGCTTAGGAGACATTATTGATTCAATTCTGTTCTGCCAATTTTCTAAATGTTTTCTTTCTTCGGATATGAACTTTTGTGTCCTTCAGCGACCGATAATCACACTGCTGTCACATTCAAGATCCACACAAATGAATATCTTATTTTTCTGGTTCTCTCAACGTCTTATTTCTTTCATGGCTGGCAAGTTTCAGCTTTAGATATGAACTGATACAATTTTAAAAACTGGATAATGCTTTACAGTGATAAGGACCTGCAAATGAAGAGAAGGATGAGGGGGGACATGATAGCAGTGTTCCAATATCTCAGGGGCTGCCACAAAGAAGAGGGAGTCAAGCTATTCTCCAAAGCGCCTGAAGGCAGGACAAGAAGCAACAGATGGAAACTAATCAAGGAGAGAAGCAACCTAGAACTAAGGAGAAACTTTCTGACAGAACAATTAACCAGTGGAACAACCTGCCTCCAGAAGCGGTGAATGCTCCAACAATGGAGGTTTTTAAGAAGAGACTGGACAGCCATTTGTCCGAAATGGTATAGGGTTTCCTGCCTGAGCAGGGGGTTGGACTAGATGACCTCCAAGGTCCCTTCCAACTTTACTATTATTATTATTAAATAGTGTTGGTTTTAAATTGAGCGCACCCAATATCGGCACATGCTTTCATGATCTAGTGCAGGAATAAGCAACTCCTTTGGACCATGGACACATGTGGAGCATTGATTCAATCCTTGTGTCAAATTTGTTAAACCTAAAGCTGTCTGCCACCCACACACACAGGCACATTCAGAACTAATTTTTTTATTAAATTGGGTAGGAGAAAGAACTACAAGTATCAATTTCCATATGTTATAATAGTCTAATAGTGTAATCCAAATTATCAAGCAAATGTCACAATGTTTAATATAATACTGGGGAAACAGGACTGTGCCATTCCTTTGAAAGGAATGCTTCAAATCACCCAGGAACACTTCCTTTTCCAAATAATAATAATAATAATGATGATGATAAAGTTGGAAGGGACCTTGGAGGTCATCTAGTCCAACCCCCTGCTCAGGCAGGAAACCCTATACCATTTCGGACAAATGGCTGTCCACTTTCTTCTTAAAAACTTCCAGTGTTGGAGCATTCACAGCTTCTGGAGGCAGCTTGTTCCATTGGTTAATTGTTCTAACTGTCAGGAAGTTTCTCCTTAGTTCTAGGTTGCTTCTCTCCTTGATTAGTTTCCACCCGTTGCTTCTCGTCCTGCCTTCAGGCGCCTTGGAGAATAGCTTGACTCCCTCTTCTTTGTGGCAGCCCCTGAGATATTGGAACACTGCTATCATGTCACCCCTCGTCCTTTTCTTCATTAAACTAGACATACCCAATTCCAGCAACCGTTCCTTATATGTTTTAGCCTCCAGTCCCCTAATCATCTTTGTTGCTCTTCTCTGTACTCTTTCTAGAGTCTCATTAAAGCAGCCATGTATTTTTCCAGACTGTGTAGTTGCTTTGGCCGTCTCTCTGGCTGCAGAAGCCTGGAACAAAAATGTTACTGCTCTGATAACTGAAGAAAAAGAGAACTCCTGGGTGTCCTCAAGAATTTGAGTACCTCCAATGTGTAACATATAAATGAATGACTAGGACATTACATTAAATTGTTGACCCCTTCCTTGCTTCTCTGTATTGTGCTAACATCCTCTGACATAAGGCTCTTTTTCATGATTACATTAACGGGTAGTTCTTCCATCCCTGAATCAGCAGAAAAACTAGCTGGCATAAATTGCAGCGCCCTTGTGGTTAGGCCCTACTTTGCCTAAGTAACAAGGGCAGGGAGGGATGCTATCCTTACCATTTAAGGGGAACTATAATTAAACATGAGTGTAGCGTGCTTCAGAAAAAGTGCTAAACCTATGCTTAATGTAACCCCCAAATACCTGACAGACATTGCACAGACTCTAGAACAGTGTTTCTGAAACATGGCAATTTTAAGATGCGTAGACTTCAATTCCCAAAATTCCCTGTTAACAATGAAATGGAATGTTTTCTCCTTCCATGTAATGTTCCCGCTGGTGCCAGCTGCTTATCAGCTGCTAGCCAGCTGCAGGAATTCAGTTCTCTCCTTATCAGGTCAATAAGCTCATGATAAACCTCCATGCAAACAGAGACTTTGCAGCAAGAATTGCTATGCTCTGCCTCAGGTTTAGCTGCCAGCACTGGCTCTAATGGTAAGAAGAATAGAATAGAATAGAATAGAATAGAATAGAATAGAATAGAATAGAAACTGGATGGGACCTTGGAGGTCTTCTAGTCCAGCCCCCTGCTCAAGCAGGAGAACCTATACCATCTCAGACAAGTGACTGTCTAGCCTCTTCTTAAAAATCTCCAGTGATGGAGCGCCCACAATTTCTGGAGGCAAGCAGTTCTACTGGTTAATTGTCCTCACTGTCAGGAAGTTTCTCCTTAATTCCAGGTTGCTTCTCTCTTTGATCAGTTTCCAACCATTTTGCAGTGGTTTTTTTGGTATGTTGGTCTGTAGTTTCTTTTTGTGTGAAGACTGATGCAAAGAATGAGTTAAGCAGTTCTGCTTTCTCCCTGTTGTCTGTTATTTCCTTGCCATCTTCTCTCTTTAGTGGACCTACAGTTTCCTTAACGTTTTTCTTGTTGTTAATATGTTGGAAGAAACTTTTTTTTTATTATCCTTGATTTCTGTTACAAGCCTTTGTTCATTCTGAGTCTTTGCTCTCCTGACTTCATCTTTGCATGTTCTGGCTGTCTGCTGTCCAAGAGACCAAAGGGGAAAGGAGGTGCCTGCTGCAGCCTAAAATGCCAACGAGACAAAAACAGTTTACAGCCCTTGTCTCAATTAAAAAATTGCAAATATCACCGGTATAGCAAGAAGCTTGTCATGAGACTGTCACTTTAACTGGAAAAGCCAAGGACAAACAAACTGATTCCATGGTAAGCTGAGGAAAAACTGAGGTCATGGGGACCTGTTCTTGAAGGAAATATTCTTGTTAATGGGGCATCTCCATGTTGCAGTTAGCAGCAGATGGGACCCTAAGTCAGTTTTGAACTCTACCCCCTGAGGGAAAAGAAAAGGCAGAAGGAGAAGGAAAAACAGAAGGAGGAGAAGAAAGAAGTCTAACAGTATCTGACTGGTCATAGCTTTGCCTTTTGGAGAGCAGGAGACATTTCCTGCTATAACAACAACCATATCATTTTGAATTTAAAGGTATGTGCTCCTATGTTGAAATAGATACTTACCATGAAAACTACTTTGGAAGGTAGTCAAGAAGGGGTTTTATTTAACATCTATAAATGTGAGG